GCTGTGAAACCAGGAAAAGAGAAGAGAATTTGTGTCATTTGGAAAAGGGCAGTTGTAAGTGGCATCTTTCCATATATTTAAGAATATATCTACAAAGCTATCATCACAATTTCAAAACAGAGTTCAATAAAAATGCGGTATCAGGTGGTATTTTCTCCTTCCTTTATTTCTGGGATCTCTTACTTCAATCTAGTAATATATTTACGTTTCAGGAATGAGTGGGACAGTTTTCCAACTTCAATGCAAGTGAAAACGTAGATGGATTTGGAGTTTTCTACTCAAACACATCAGAGACATGCATAGCTTGAAATTTTTGAGCAACTTTTAAATAGCACTGAACTACTGGTTAGCATGCATTAACCTGATACAGTGCTATTCTTTTTTGTTGTTCCTTAGACTTCCTAAATGGCGTGTATAGTCTTGCTAATTCCTTGTATTTTAAAATCAACAGCATAAGTATTTAACTTTTTGAAAACTACAGAACTGCACTCATAAAACAGATTCACATAACTGTCTTTAGGAAATCAATGCCTAATATTACTAAGGCACAAATTCATGAAAGTACTACTTATTTACAGTCAAGTTTTCATTTTTATTAAATCTAAAATTTAATTTTAAACTTTTCTGTTCACCTTACCTGAAAAGTCCTTGTTTGAAGAGGTAGGCACTGACATGACCTCCATCCAGATACCTGATTTCACAGCCTGGCCCATCTGTGGTAAGAAATAAAAACACAACAGCAGAGATTTCTGCTGTCAAAATGCTATTTTCACAAAAAAAAAAAATTAAATTATTTGATGCTTTAATAAAATCACATGTTCTAAAGTCTCCACCAGAATTTATCTGGTTTTTAATGTTACAGTAGTGAGGCCATCATTGGAAAAACAAACTAACCCTTATCCTTCTCACCCCTAGAGCAGAAATGCCTCAAAGACTTGTGAAGTTGACAAGAGAATTCTCTGTCCTCTCATCAACAAAACTCTAGAGCATTCATGTCAGTTCTTTGAGATCCTTTTTATTGGGCAAAAAGAAGTATGAAATTCAACAAAATAGAAGTTTCATAGATTTTTTCCCCTCAAGGAGGAAAAAAGACAACTTTTGATACAAGAGGTCAGAAAGTACAGCCTATGTTCACTTCCTTTTTTGTTTCCCACATGGTTTACTTGCAACATAAAAATCCCAACATATTGTTATACATATTTATTGCTCATAATCAGAACTGCACCAATCAGATTACTAGCAGGAATAACACCAATATGATGTTGAGAAAAATAACACCAAAATTATGTTGAACACAGAACATTTCTCCCTTCAAAAAGAAAATATGTGATATGTTAAAAAGTGACCAGCCAAGATGTCTGCCAGTGGGGTGTCACAAATAATGTAAACCCTCCCTTCTTTCATACTAAATCTTATATAGAGAATATGCAATGCCAAGATGAATTCAAGTCTTCCATTCAATTTTCCATGAAATCTGAGAATTAAGCAGATTTCCTGAAGCTCCTCTCTGGCCTCACTCCAAGGATACTCTGGGAGGGAATGCAAAGTCCCCCAGAGAATGACAAGACCTGGGAGACTATTGACACAATGGACTCCATCACTTTGACAAGTGGGAACACAGATCCTTTTAAGTTCCATGAAAGGTCAGTACTTAGCTAAGTGATACCTGGATAAGTCTAGATAAACAAGAAAGTCTGTACATAGAATAAAACTTACAGGGCTTAAAACTTACAGGGCTTTTCCTGTCTACTGAAATAACTTAAAAAGCTTTAAGGAAAGCACTTCACTGGTTTTCATCACAAAGTATCTTTGGCTAGCAGTGGAAGATAGTGTATATAATAGTGTAGTTTCCTTTTATTGAGTGTTTCCTTTATTTTTAACATTTATTTAAATTTAAAACACTTGAACCAATGGAGTACCAAATGACAGAAGTAAGACATGAGGTGGCACGGGGGCTCAGTACAATCACTTGTTTGCATTGCTGGAAAGGGTTTGTCCTGAACTCCAAGGAATGCTGGACTACAGCTCCCCCTATATGCTATGCCTGTCCTGGGAAACAGTATTCACCAGCCTGCACCAGCCCAGAAAGACCCCCAAAATGTTTTTACTGGCAATATCATTCAAGCCTGGTGCTCAGCTATGCAGGCTACCTTCTATCTGAAGTCGGTATGAGATTTCTGCTTGAAAAACCTTATTAGCAGATCAATTAAGATTAATTAGACCTGGGTATTACTCACACCACACAGGCGTTTTTTTCCTTTACATAATACAAATTTGCACTAACTCATATCTGAAAAAAGACACAGCAAGGCAGAGGAGAAAAATGTGCAAAGATACAGAGAAGCAAATTTTTAATTGACTTTGTCATTAGTTGGCCATCAAGAAGGAACAGAAAAACAATTAGGAAATGGAGTAGTAAATAGACACTATGGAATAATGCTCACAATAATTCCTTATTTCAGCAAAGGTGCCAGCAACTTTACACTTGGAGAAGGAAGAAAATACCTTTCCCCCCACTGTATTTTATTCAGCTTTCCAAAGTGCACATTGAAACAAAGAGATACATACCTGGGAAGTTAGCTACATGGGTACATTCATCCATTACTCCCTTCATGAACATTAAGGATTCTCTCTGTAAAGTGTCACTCCTTCTCCTTGTATTTATCCTGTGTCCTTGTGGGCTGGTTAAGTTTTTATTGCTACTACTACTGGTGGAAAAGGTTTGATTTATGCACTGCATTTTAGGAGCATCTTGCATTAAGAGTCTTTCTGAAGAGGCACTTAGAGCACTTCTATTTGTGGCAAAGCTGTGAACAGATTCCTTGGATACAGAGTCATTCAAGGACTCAAAGCTGAATATTCTGGAAGTCACGTCCATGTCCGCCAGACTGTCCACACTGTCGGGGAAGTTCTTCACAAAGTCTTGTCCCATCTTGAAAGAATCCGTCTAAGAAAAGAAAACAATTAAGGGTTCTCCCTTAAACCATTTGGCTAATTTTATTTTGAAGATGAACTCATAATTAAAATAAAAAAAGACACTACCAGCACTGCTCACTTCTATTTTCAGCTTGCAGGTCTTTCAATTAAATCCTGATCATCATAACCTCTTGAGAATTTCATTCTACGTTTCTGTCAGTTTAAAAAATTGCAGGAGGTACTTACATATACAGAAGCTTGTGATATAAACAATTGCTTTTCTTTCTGTATTAAACTCTGAGTTTGTAATTACAGTCATTTAAACTTAAATGATATAATAATAATAATAATAATAATAATAATAATAATAATAATAATAGAAAAATGAACATATGTGACCATGTCTAATGTTATGTTTAGGACTGGAAAACTGACAGTCTCTAAATACTAGGGAGACACAAGCTGAACATCTTGAAAAATGTTTCTTCTTTTCATTTTGTCTTCTCCAACAGTGTTGCTGGAGTGTTTGTGACTTAAAAATGGCAAGTGCCCAAGTAACAACTATCTGCACACCAGCTCCTCTTCTCCTGCTGTGAGGTATCAGAAAAAAAAAACATCACAAAGAAAAGAATCTTAGAGGGGAAAGAAAAAGGCATTTATCAGAATTTTGATTGAATATGTTTCATGTTGTAGTGTGATCAAAGGAAAAACTTGTAGCAAGAGCTACACTTTAAACTCATTATGCAACCAAAATAATTACTTTTGTGTCTCAGGTTTTTCCTTCAAAGACTAAATTTATCAAAGCATAAAGAAACAATGTGGCAGTATGTTCTAGCTAACAATTGTCTACTTTTAGTGGAAGAAGTTACATTATTTGCTAGATTTGCACATGTAAATATTAGCAGACAGGTAGAATAAACCATACTTACTCCACAATATTCAAGCATTTGAATGATTTCCTCTTCATACACAGTTTGTGTAAAATACTGTTTCTCCAGCTCTCTCCAGTTCACTGCCTTACTCAGCACACCCTGAGATGATAAATTCAGTACACAAGTAAAACCCAGAGGTCATTCTAAAATAATGATACACACAGGAAATTGACCTGTTCCTCTCCTGATTTTTTCAGTGGAATTGTGTTCCTGGACAGCCTCAGAATTATTGCAATCAAAGCACAAGCACATATTATAACACTGGACATGGAATCCCACCTCCCTTGTGGCCAGCCCAAATATTTTAACATATATTTTTGTTTACAATCTAATATATTAACAGAAAATGTATTTTGTAATTTATTAATTACCGTAGTGAAGACTGCAGAGGCTGTCGACCAGGAAAGACATGGAATCAGTGGCAATGGTTTAGGCCAGTTTGTCACTGCCAGTGAAGCCATCTAGAAGCAAAGGATAGACTTTCACCTATTTAGAAGTTATTATCTGGTCTCCAGTGATTTCTTAAAAAATAAACATTTCTCTGGAAAGGTTGCTCATTTCAAGGTTGAATGGGATTTGGTTATAAGTGTTCCCAATAGAATATTTACTAAATATTCCATTAATTACAATTACAATTCAATTATTTATATTTGCAAATCATTAATTATTATAATAATTATAATTATAGAAACAGATACAAGCTATTCATTGTTTAAAATCATAAACTTCTATAACTTCTATAACTTTCCACCAAGCTCTTGCAAGTTTATTTCAAGGCAAAACAGAGGCAATCTATGAGAAGGACTATTTCAAATTCTATACTTTCAAAATTTGTATAAAGGAAACAAAATTTGAAGAAGTAATTTGCAATGTTAAGCACACTCTTTTTCTGTCCCTTAAGTTTGAATTATTACTTTTGCAACAGTTCTCAGAACATGTTTTTGTGACTATTCTGTCTATCCCAGAAAAAAACAGAGCAAGTAAGTTCAATGTACACAAGTTCCCTGAATGGTATGTTCTTGACAAGTTTTATTTTATTAATATGAAACACCTCATGTCTGTTCTAGATGTTCTAATAAATGGATTTATGCAACTGAACTATTGCTCTACTTTAATTATTTTTATTAATAAGTTACAAGAACACCACACGTCTATGTTCTGATTCTCTCCAGTAGAACTCTCTCCCCTTTAGTAGAACTGAATCAATGCTTACAACCTTCCATTGTAAAACACATCTATATCAACATCACATATCACTTATTTCATAGAAGTTTCTATGAAAAAACTGTGAAAGATTCAGCAGGGTGATGTTGATGTAAACCAAAGGTGCTCTGTACATTTATGACATTTACAGTTATAAAACTCTGCTTTAGGGGAATATTTTCCTTTTGGGAAACACTACCATTACCAAGATTATTTACTGAGCTCCTAACAAACAAAGGATGTTGTTTTAATAAGCTTTGCACCTGTGTCTCACAGAGCTGTGATAATCTGCAGAGACACAAGCAGTAACATTTTAACTGTATATTAGTCTTTCAAGCATCTTAGTGCTACACTGCAGGTTTAGTTTGAGTACACACAGTGTCACACAGAAAATGTTATCCACCTCACCACAGAAATCTCTGATCAGTACCAATGATCACTGACACCAAAAGCCACCTCAATTACAACATGCCTACAAAGAAGGGGTATTTCACACAATGCATTAAAACACAAAGGTTTAAGCAAGAAGAAAAGAGGAAAAGAGGGAGAATTAGCAATCGATCAGTGCAGACTTTCTTTCAGCAAACATTTCTGCCCCCCACCCTTGTGGAAAAAAAAACAATTATGTGAGAAGTTTATATTCTTATTAAGCCTGCTGGGAGATGGCTGACAAAGGGCTCTATGATTTGTCAGTACATATTAAGGATTATACTAATTCAGCACAAGAGAACATGAGAATTGCCAACAATTTGTTTCTCATGACTCTAAGTGTTTATTTTAAAGCACTTCTGAGATCAACACTGTAAAACAAATTATTTCCATATGCTATATAATCAAATGAGAAGTTAAAACAAAAATTACTGAACAGGAGATATAAAAGCTTACATGTCCTCCCATGGATATTCCAGTCATCCCTAGTGGTCCATAGCCTTCTCTCTCTAGCCAGTGCAAAAGAGCTGCCGATTCTAGAATTAGAGCTCCTCCCATCACAAACAGGTCCGAGACATTTTTTAAACATGACCGTCTTTTCTCCCCAGAAAAGGAAAATAGAGGGTTTATTTTCTAAGATTAGACTCTGACAGTTCTTATCATTCTATACATACTTTTATACACAGCTTCATCACAATCCCACAGAATTCTGGAGCTGGACTCCTGTTGATTCAACAGGAGGTAAAAGCAAGCCCAGATTTTCTGGCACTTGTAATTTTTCATACAAATGAGGACTAGAAATAGACACCTGCCTATGCTTTTAGTGTAAAATCACTGACAGCTTGGTCTTTTGGAAACAATTACCAACATTAGCAACTCATTAGTAGCGATATTCTGTCCTGTGAAGTTGTCACAGACATTTTAGAAATAGAATCAAAATGATACAGTCCTAAGCATACCCTATCTCGTTTGCAGAAACAAGTATATATTTTTTTTCTTATTTACCTGTTTTACATCATTGTAAAATTGCACACTACATTTGAAGAGCAATCAGTATGTCAGCTTTGGAAGCACTCATCAGTGTCACTGTAAGACTGAAACTGTAATGTGGGAAGTTTGTCACAGTATTGAGAAATTCAGGCGGTGTACTGCAAAGCACTAAAACACAGAAGACACACAAAAGAAGTAGAGATCTATTTGGCTGAGCCATCAGAGTGACTCTAAAAATAATATACCTCTAACCTGGAGAGGGGGACTGAGTATTTTCAGTACCACAGCCAGGTTACAAAAGGCTCCTGGCCTCTCCAGCCAGCATGCCACCATCACATTTGTGACACTCTGAAGCACAAGGACAAAGCTCACTGTGAAGTCACACAGAAATGACAGAAATGAACATAGCTGCTGCACAGCAGCATTTACAGCCTAATGTAATTCTTTCCTACAGCTTTGTGAGACTCCTCAGCCTTCTGCAGCTGCTGTATTTATTGAACACTGTCACCTGTTTCACTGGCACTGGGTAACCCTGTACTGGAGAGTGACAACAAGAGTTGGGGTATTAGACTGAGCACTGCCCTGCCTTGAAACAATCCTGACACACTGAACAACTGAGAACAGTTATTTAATTTATTCTTCTGCATCAGATTACCCATAACTGGAAATTAACCTACCAATGGATGTACTCCAGCACGTGCTTTCTCCTGTCACTTTCCTATAATCTTACAAAAAACACCTGTGTCTTCTAGTCATGTTAAATGTCCAAGTTAGGATTAAAAAGGATTAAAACTCCAACTCATATTTGGACTTTCAGAAATATTGAGAGACTAAAAGCTTTGCCTCAGACACAATATCCTGTTTAATTCTGATAATATGTCTGTGGTTTGGAAAATGCAAAAAGTAAAAATGAAGACTGCCTAATTAGGCTTCCAAATTCCAATTTAAGAAACTGACTGAAGAAACAAATCCTATAAAATACTGAATATTGCACAACGTCCTGACTAACAGCTAATCAACACTAGATCTATTTGTATGCCTGTAGATCCTTAAAAGATCTCAGAAAAGCAAAATACTAGCAATTATAATGGAAATACGCTATCTGAGGAAAGATTATTCAGAGCTGATTGAAATATAACAGCAGTACTTGTCATGCAGCTGTGAATCAGGAAAATAAAACAGTTCTGGCTTGTACTGACACAAGATGTTTGCATCTCACTTCATACTGCAAGTTCATCTTGTGCAAACTTTCCTGATCCCTGAGATCTCCTAACACAACACCCAAATCAGTTTAGCAAAGAGCAGATAATTTCACATTGGCAGGTTACTAGTGGTTTTTGAAATGTTTTTTTCCTAATAAGCTATCAAAGTTTAGACAACTTTTGGCTTGAAAGAGAAAAAAAAGAAAAGCAGTATCAAAAAAAAATTGGTATCTATAAATGTAACAGGAATACTTACAATTGATCCTTAGGTTTTCTACAGCCATGTAAAAGACTCCAGTTAAAGAAAGTTTAAAAAGATTTATCAAAACTGGCCATTTAAAAAAAAAATAGATTAAATAAATAATATGCATAAATAGCTTGAATTAATTGAAATTTAGAACTTAAACTCACAAGTTTAAACTGTCACCTAATTAAATTCAACCTATTTCAATGATGCAGTTTGCAACATTTTACTTCTGTCAGATATATGGGTAGGAAAAAAGTGTAAATTGAGATCCTATTTAATAAAACAGAATAATACTGTTATACAAGATGACAGAACAAAACTGAACCATTTTTTTAAAAACCCACCCAAATCTGAAGTGATAAGAGCAAGTTTCTCAGAAGTTACCTGAGGTACCATAGAATTGTGTTTCACATAGCAATCATACTCTCTTTGCTTCTACCCACTGGGTACCAGAAAGCTGGTATTTTACGAGTGTGGTAACTCTTCTGCCTCCCAGAGAGGACATTAGGAACAACTATTGTGTTTCCACAAAAGGATATAGTAAGGATTTTCTAGCAACAGGGAAGCCATACAGGCTTCTTTAATCATCGGCCGCGCCATTAACGTGCGTCTTCTCCAGAAGTGCTAAAGATAGAGTGCACAGACAATATAGGTAAGACAAAATTTGATGATTGAATTTCTCCATAACAATTTTACATTTTACACACTCACATGGTCTCCAGTGCCTGCTAAATGAATGCACACAGGTCTGTGCTTGCCATTCCATCTTCTGGGTATGATGAACTGAAATCTATGAGAAATGAACACCTATTTTAGCAGAGTAAGAATATCTATTAACAAGCTGCATCAAGAGAAATTAATTAAAAAACTAAAACCAAAACAACATAACTATTTGTAACCCGTGCAGGCAAACTGCCAGCAATTCAGCAACATTATTTTTCATGAACACATTCAGCAAACAAAGGAATCTGAAAGTAGGACAGAAGAAAGGCCAAACAAGAAAAGGAGCTAAGATGAAAGATCATGTTCCTAAAAAAGACTACTACCTCATCATCACAATTTAAACTTTGCAGAGTGGAGAAATGCAACTTCAGATAAAGAGCAGCCTAAACAAGCATGTCCAGCTCTCCTAGGCATCATTGCTATTTTTTCTCCTGAAGGCACAACAGCTGAAATTGAAGATTAAGATGAGCAATAAATAAAAAAAAAATCAAAACCCCAACATACAAACCATGAAATTATTCTATACACTCAACATTATTCAATTAATGTCTTCTGCTGCTACTTATTTACAGTTTAAACTACTGAAAAAAAAATCCTTCCTGAGCCACCACAATTTTCCCCACAAGATGGAGCACTGTTACCTACGAGAGTGTTACACTTCAGCAAATGCATTCATACCATCTTGAGGGAAATTTGTACAGCTTTTCGAACCTGTTACAATACTGGCCAAAGTAACAATTATCATAACTTAGCTACAAAGCACAACAGAACATAGAAAAGAAAACAGTGAGCACATTGTATTTTCCAGTATGGCACTAATTAGTTTGATAATGTTAACAGTTTCTTTCTCTAGCCAGTAGAGAGGTGGAACGGAACTAATTTCTTGACTATCAGCCTTTTTCTCACATCCCTTAATTTTACATGCTTTAGCACACATATAAAAACACCAACCAGTATTACTGACAAAATCTACAACTTCCGTATCAACTTGAGCTGACAAACTTTTGTTTATGCTATTAAACAAACAAAGTCTGGGAAAAAAATTCAGCATGACAGTTCAGCTCAAAACTAAAAGCAAACAGAAATTATGCTCCCTTTGCAAACCCACTCCTCATCTGCAAATAAATGTTAGTGTGAAACCAGCATTATTAGGGAGCCTCCAGCTTTCTGTGAGAATGCTTGCTGTTGTTGTTTTGTTGTTTGTTTTTTTCCTGTTTGCCAAGTAAGAAAAGAACCAGTTTCTCTGGCTACAATAAAATAAGCTTGCTATTTTATCACAGACACAAGATTTTTGGATTCAATGGAATGGCTCCTTCAAATACAACATAATATTCTTTGATATAAACAGCTTCTCCTGCTACATATAAAACAAAAACTACTGTTTTTTTTTTCCAGCATCCCCCTCATTTGGAAAAATATAAACCAATAATTCAAAAGACTCAGGGTATTCCACAGCTTTATGCAATATGATTTCTAAGCTTAAAAAACAAAAAAAAACCAAACAAACAAACAAAAAAAAGCAACCAAAATACCCAAAAAACCCCAAAACAACCAAAACAACAACAACAACAAATAAAACACCACCCAACCAAATCAAAAAAGTAATATTTTGGTATTGGATTTTTTATTTAATACATAGATTGAACTATCACATATCACATGAATAAGATTTTACAGATTGTTTGCATTACAATCAATTAGCTGCACAATAAAACTACTTACAGACAAATACTTTACTTCTCTGCAGCACTAATTTCAGAAATACCTCTCGGTTTCTCTTACCTTGCTACAAGAGATTCAACCGGCAGGATACCTGGGACACAATGAGCCAAGGGGGAAATGAAGTGCCCCTCGAGGATTTTACAGTCTGATTGCCTCTCAACCTGCAGAAAAAATGGGACAATAGAAATAAATATTATGTCAATCTTTAACCTTTTACAGGAATCAAAGAAAGATGCAATGCTGTCCCATTTTAAATACATTCGATAACACAGACTAAGTTTTGAGTTTCAACATTTGACATCTCACTGCCCAATTACTGTACTACTGTGAAAAAAAGAAAAAAACCAGCATCTGTACAGGCACTGCTTTAGTCTCTATTTCCTTCCATTCTCTTCTAGTAGCCTATTAAAGTGGCCTGGTGTTAAGTACCAAGTTATTTCACCTCTGTATACCCATAGGAAAATAAATGCAGTTAAATCACATCATCTCTTGCTTATAAGTACCTTGTCAATGAACACTGGGTAATCTTTCGAAACAAGCGTCTGGCATTTTTCCCTGTTTCCAATAATCTTTCTGAATTCAAATATTCTGTTGAAAGGAAACAAGTAGAGAAGATTCAACTTTTAATCTAAAAAAAAGAAGAGACATATTTTTATAAAATTTCAGGAGCTAAAGTAAGCCACAAACAAAGAAAACTTATGAAGACAGATTTGCATTTACAGATCAATCAGGCCACCACAGAGTAGGTGGTAGCTTCCATAGGATGCTTCTGTTATAAAAAAAAGTCTCAGGTACCTTGCTGGGGAACAGAAGGCTAAGGGGCAAATCTGGTTGCTTTCTTCTGTTACTTAAATGGGCTGCAGAGCTACACAGAGTAACTGAAACAAAACTCTTCTCAGAGGTGTACAGTGAGAGGACAGGATTACTGAAGGACATGAACACTTAAGAGGCAATGGTCGTGTGCTGCAGTGTAAGAAATCCCTCCTGGAACAAAGTGAAAGATTGCTTTCACAGTTAAGCACATGAAAAAATAGCCCAGGGAAACTAAAAAAGACCTTCATCCTCAAGGGATGAAGTGCCTTTGAAGTGAATGAAGTGCCAAGTGACTTGAAGAAACAAAGAAGTCAGCTTTGTTTTGAACAGGGATTTTGACTTGATGCCCTCAAATTGGCCCTTTAAACCTTAAATAGTTCATAACTTGCTCATTTCTGTGCTCATAAATACAGACTTTACCTGACAAGATAGAAGAGTTTTGAGTGAAAAGTACAGAGGAATGACCTGTTCACCTCCCCAACACCACAGAAAACCCAAAGAATGGAAGAAAATCCAGTTTATCACCGCAGAATAGCTCTACTTTATAACCTTTGTTTTTCTTATAGAAAACAGCAAGTGAATTAAGTATTTCTGAGAAAGTAAGGGTAAAGATGTGAGCATGGAGGGTAAGCTAAACAGAGATGTTTTGACTATAAATCTTCTAAAAATACTACATTTATGTATTTTTTCTATAGTTAGGTGGATACTGAAGGCTAAATCTTGCCTCTACTGAGGAATTTCAACCTTTGCTAATGAGTTGAGGACAAAGAGTTAGGATATTAACATTCATCACACCAAGGGGGTACACAAAATTTCAGATTAGACAGAGTAGTCTGCCATTCAATCTCAGATAATACCTGAAGTATAAAACATTTAGTAACTTAATAATGGAGCTTCACAGCAATGATTTAACAAACAAAAATAAAAACCCTCCTCCCACAAGCCAGTGTGAGGAGTCAGGAGGAGGTAGTATTCTTCCTTCTTCATACAGGTGAAGCCAGGCTGCTGGGGAACAACTCATCTTCATCCAGTCAGGGGCAACACACAGAACAAAACTTTCTCCCCCTTTGCAGACCAGCAAGCTTGCCTCCTGCTTTCCCCACCACTTTTGATCTGGTGGGAGAGGGTTTTTTTTTCCCTGAATGAAGAAGGAGGAACTGTAGCTGGTATCTCTGTTACCACCAGCAACACAACCTTAGTGCCATTTTGTGTGGGTGTGATCACCCTCCAGAGCCCAGGCAAGCCTTGCACTGGTGAGCAGTCAGAGGCTCCCTGTATGAAGACACCACTTGCACTGGAGGGAAATGGGACACTGAAACTTCACTGTGTCTCACCAAGAACCCAAAGGTTTTTAAAAGAGAGGGTTTTGATAACATTAAAATATCACATTTTGTATATACACATGGAATAGAATACAGAAATGCTGCAATCAAAACACACCCCACCATTTTTGGCTATTCCAATCAAAGCCAACATTCTCATTTTACAGGAAAGTCTGCTACTTAAGAGAAAAAATCAACTGAAGACAGACACACAAAGCAATCCAAGTGCCATTTCCAGATCAGATCTTTCATATGGACTTAAAAACCAAATAAACAAGCTCCCATAAAACTCTACTGCTATCCAGTGCACAAAATTTTATTTCAGTAGTTTTCCAAGTTTTCTTTATTGATTTTCATATACATAAGAGTGAGCT